ACTGATGAAATCAAGCCCCCTTTGTGCGTTGTGCCATCTGTAAAAATTGGGGTGAGATACCAATCCCCTCTCAGCCTCACTTTCTTCAGCCATAAAATGATGATCCTGAACTGTGGGAAGACGAACTGGCCAATCGCACGTAAAGTCACAGCAGAGGTCCCAGCAACAGTAGGCGCTCTGTGCTCTATCTGCTCCTGACCCTCCCCCTCCCCTCTCATTAACCTTGGTTCTCACTCTTTCTCCCACTGCCTCCAATGCAAGCATCTTCAACCTCACTGGGAGCTCGCAGGGCTCGCCTCTAAGTGGCAGAATGGTGGGGGCCCCACAGATCTTAGGAAATCAGTGGGTCATGCAAAGAGTGGCGAGCTGGAGGGACAAGAGGAAAGCCTGGGAACACAGAGGCTATTTAAGACCTTCCTCAGCTAAACTCTGAAGCTGGAAAGTGTTCTTTCTGGGGAGAGAACACGGATGGGAAAGAAACTGTTCTTTCTGGGGCAGACACGTGGCATGGAGTTCCTCACAGTATGTGTGTAAAGACCTTGTACAGAGAGCTGCAGCTACATCCCGGTTATAGGCAGTAGTTAAAAGGGGAAAAAAGAAAGTGTGCAAAAATGGAATCTTCCCATAATTTCCAGCCAATATTTCAGGCTGAGCGTCTGCTTGCTCATCTGGGGCAATCGCCTTCATCCAAGCACCACAGTGAGCTATGACTTCTGCCTTCCCCACAGCTTGTCCATGGAGCCAACGGGTCTTACCAGAATACCGCAGTGGATTCGGTCTGCTCGAGAGTGACACCATGAGTACACACTGTTTTTCTTGCCAACGTGCAACGAGATCTGTTCCAATCCAGAAAGTGTAAAAATAACTCACTCAGAGGGCTAAGTTGATTCCAGGATCATTCTGGGGGCTCCCCACGGACATCAGGCCAAAAGAGTATACTCAGCCTCTCTCGAGAAGGAATTACATCTTTGAGGAAGCTACCAGATTGGAGTGGATCCAGACCCCAAAAAGTGTCACCAGAGTGGCTGTGGCTTTCCACAGCTTTCCGGAGAAGCCAGACCTACTAAAAGTCTTGGTGAAGACGTAGAGAAATTGGAACACCTTGCACACTGCTGTGGTTCGACTGTGTTGCAAAGCAGACTGGCAGTTCCTCAAAAAGTTAAACACAGAGTTATTCTACACCCCAGCAATTTCACTCCTGGGTGTATATCCAAGAAAATGAAAACCTATGGTCCCTCAAAGACTTGCACGTGGATGTTCATAACAACATTGTTGGCAATAGCCAAAAGGTGGAAACAACCCAAATGTCCACCAAGCTATGAGTGGCCAAATAGCTTGCGGGGTGCCCACACCATGGAACAAAAAGAAATGAAGTCCTGACACATGATGCAACAGGGACGGAGCTTGAAAACTGTTACACTAAGTGGCAGAACAGTCAAAAAAGACCACAGGATTCTGTCCACATGAAGTGTCCAGGTTAGACAAATCTGTAGAGACAGAATGTAGATTAGTGATTCCCCAGGGTTCACGGGTGACGAGAAACGGGGAGTCACTGCTAATGAGTACGGGAGTTCTCGTTGGGCGACAAGAGTGCTCGAAAACTGGCTGTGCTGATGGTGATATACAATGTGGTTACGCCAGGAGTCGTGGACTTACGTGGCTTAACTGACGAATCGTGTGGTATGTGAGCTGTAGGTCAGCAAAGCTGTGAGAAGGAGCCGGAGGAAGAGGAAGAAGAAGAAGGAGGAGAAGAAGGTGACTCATCCTCATCCTCATCATCCAGGCTTTGGAAAGCTCATTGGCTGAGTCTCTCCAGAATAGCTCGGGTTCATTACTACTAGGAAATGAGATAGTCCAGTCACTCCTGTGTGGGCTCTGGAAGAGAACGAATGATTTGGACTCAGATGGACTTCAGTAGCACTCATGACCTCATGAGTACTTTGTGTGGCAGCTCGTCCTAAGTGCTGACGTACAGTCCGTGACTGCAGTTCTGACAGAATAAGGAAAGGAATCCCAGGATGGGCCCGAGCTACCGGCAGGTAGGACCCTCTCAGCTCTAGAGATCAGAGCCAAAATGCCCCCTGGCCCTCTGATCCCTCATCTGGAAATGAACCCAATGTTGCCTCACTGGTAGACTTTATAAGGTTGTGAGAGAGATAACAAGATTCCCTAGTTGAAAGTGCACGGTAACGTACACACGGGTTTAACAGGTTCCTAATGTCCGCTCGGGAAGACCATTCTCTGTGAGGCCTCCAGCAGCTCAAAGCCCTCAGCAGTTTCTGGAATCCCCGAGCCATCGCGTAAGTTGGGACACTTTCTGCTCCACGTAACAGGATTCGACACCCAGACTGGCCTAAACTATTAAGATGTTTACTTCTGCACATTGGAGGGAGTCCAGCCGGTGTCTCTGAGTGGCAAGACAAGAGAGTCTGCCCAGAAGAGGGAATAGGCAGGCCCTGGAATGGTTGGGAAATGAATGTACCGTCAAGATAAGTGCTTTGAGGGCTTGTGTTGGTTGCCTCTGGGAGTTCTTTAAGGGTTAGGATTACTCAGACGTCATACCCAGAATGCAGGAGAGACCTCTGAGCAGCAGGAGGCTATAATTTAAAACCTCCAGGGGAAAGGATGGAGGAAAACCGATCAATCAATCAATCAGTCGCTCGATCCTCTCTGGTAGTGGTTCTCAAAGCTGGCTGCGTGTGAGACTCATACGGGAGCCAGGGCCCTGCTCAAAAGCTTCTGGTCTGGGTGGTCTGGGATGAGGCTGAGACCCTGGTGTGTTTCACAAGCTCCCCAGGTAATTCTTGAGTGCTGAGTTTTGACAAGCTTGAGAATGGTTGCTCCAGCATGTTAAAAATCAAAAGGGTCACCCTAAGCTTGGAGGACCCCAGCGGCCAGTGGTGAGCAGTTACTTAGGGATGAAGTGGTGAGAAAAGATGATGCTGGAAACAAAACCGAGGCTCCTTTCCCTGTTCAGCCAAGAGCCTCTTCCTCTCCCTTTGGTAACCATAACCTCAGAGCAGGCTGCACGCCCAAAACACACACACACGCACACACGGACACACACGCGCGTGCACACACACCTGCTTTCCTCCTGTGTGGGACGTTCTTTCTCCCCCAAGGTCATCATGATTAATCCAGCCTGAATGCCATCTGGTAAATGTGCTGTGGGTCGGACGTGGGATTTAGGATTTATAGCATGATTTCTTTTTCCCCAGCTCCACATTCCTTTAGGAAAGTGGTTCTTTAACTTGGTTTGAACAAGAATCACCTGGTAAACTGTTTTTAGCTGTGGTGCCTGGGCATCCCCTGTGAGGCTATGGTTGACTGGGTTCCGGGGTGGAGCCCAGGAATCTGCATTTTAATAAGCTTCACAGGGGGCCAAAGAGATCATTTAAAGAAACTTCTTTAAGGACAACCCTGATGAAAAATGAGATACACTGTACACCAGGAGACACCCAGGGGGCTCAAAAGATCTGAACAGCTAAATCACCGAGAAGACATACAGTGGCTGATAAACACATGGAAAATGTTCAAAATCCTCAGTCATTAGAGAAATGCAGATCAAAACCTCACTGAAATACCACTAGAAACCCATTACCCTATTAAAATGGTTAAAGTAAAGAAAAATGGCAATTTTCTGGTAGGGATAGAGAGAGCGAGCACAGGCACAAGCAAGGGGACACGCAGGCAGAGGGAGAAGCAGGCTCCCTGCTGAGCAAAGAGCCCGATGCAGGATTCGATCCCAGGACCCTGAGGTCATGACCTGACCTGAAGGCAGACACCTAACCGACTGAGCCCTCGGGCGTCCCTTGAAAGCACTATTCTCAGGGAAAGGAGTCAGACACAAAAGACCACTGAGGTACGACTGCATTTACTGGACATTCTGGAAATAGCAAAACTGTAGTGACAGAGTAGATCAGGGATTCCCAGGAACAGAGCGTTGGGGAAGATTTGACTATCGAGGGGTATAAGTGGGATCTGGGGGGTGGGGGTTGGTGGACCTGTTCTATGTCTCAGTTATGGTACTGGTTAAATGACTGTATGCTAAATATTTTAAAAGATGAATTTCAGGGGCACCTGGGTGGCTCCATCGGTTAAGCATCTGCCCTTGGCTCAGGTCATGATCCCAGGGTCCTGGGTTCGAGCCCCACATTGGGCTCGCTGCTCAGCAGGGAGTCTGGCTGCCGCTCCCTCTGCTTGTGGTCTCTCTCTCTCTCCCTCTTTCTGTCAAATAAACAAATAAAATCTTTCTTTTTAAAGATGAATTTTATTTTCTGTACATTATACTTCAAAGAAAACCACGAACATGGAGGAAAACAAAAACTCTGAAGGACGAATTCAGATGATTCGGATTAAACTCACTACACACTTGGGAGCAGAGCGCAGCTTGTAAATGTGGCCAGTTCCCATTCCAGCAGCTTCGGAGGAGCCTCAAGGGCAGAGATCGTCCCGAACGTCCCCTCCCTGGGGCCCACAGCACCTCCGTGTGTGACTTGACAGTTCCCAGAGCAGCCTTGCAGGCCGGCACGCCGTACGCTGACGGTCAAGAGGCAGCGGGCTGAGAACCTAAAAGAAACAGGCACCTCGCCCTGCAGAAATCGTAATGACTCCTTCCCTCCACCCCACGACTTGGGTGTTCTGGAATCCCTCCGGGAGTCTGGGGGTCCCGGAAGGCGAGTTGGGAGAACACAGGAGGGGCTTGCCGGGGGAGGGGAGCCCTCCGCGGGGGTGAAGCGCTTGCCGGTATCATCTGTCTGCAGAGCTGGTCTCTTTCCACGGCGTTTCTTTCATTTGCACGTTCCTTACGTTTTCCTAGAATTCCACCTTAAAATGAGCTGGTGGACTTGCGGCCGGGATCTCCACGCCAGAGTCTTGCCTGAACCATGACACAGAGCAGCTGGAGCCCGTTCACCACATCTGCTGGCCACATGTCGGCGGCCGCCGCATAAAACGGTCAGCCCAGCGGCCCCGGGTGACAGTGCTTGCCCGCGCCCGGCAGCATGGACCTCACTGTGCTCTGCCTGCTTCTGCCCCTGCTGTCCGCGGCCTGGGGCCAGTACGGGGACTACGGGTACCCGTACCAGCAGTACCACGACTACAGCGACGACGGGTGGGTGAACCTGAACCGGCAGGGCTTCAGCTACCAGTGTCCCCACGGGCAGGTGGTGGTGGCCGTGAGGAGCATCTTCAACAAGAAAGAGGGCTCGGACCGACAGTGGAACTACGCCTGCATGCCCACGCCGCAGGGCCTCGGGGCGCCCACGGAGTGCTGGTGGGAGGAGATCAACAGAGCCGGAATGGAGTGGTAAGGGCAGCCTGCGCGCGGCCGGGGGTCGGCCGTGGTAGCCATCCCTCCCCTGGGGGCACCTCGACCCCAGCCTCTAGGGATGGGGGCCGGAACTCATTCTCTGGGGGGCAGGCCTGCTGCCCAGCAGCCTTCAGGACAGACAGAAACCCAGGATGGGGAGTGCCACAGCAGATGGGCTCCTCTGAGGTTCTGTTCCTTCCAGAATCAAGCCCTCCTCTCAGTCTGGTCCAGGGACGTCCATGGGTCTGCGAAATGTTTCCCAGCCTGCAAAAAGAGAAGTACAGAAATTGACACTTTGCAAATTTCTTTTTCTTAAAGACTTTATTTATGTGACAGACAGAGATCCCAAGCAGGCAGAGAGGCAGGCAGAGAGAGAGGAGGAAGCAGGCTCCCCGCTGAGCAGGGAGCCCGATGCGGGGCTCGATCCCAGGACCCTGGGATCATGACCTGAGCCGAAGGCAGAGCCTTAACCCACTGAGCCACCCAGGCGCCCCAAAGACACTTTAAAGACAACAATTTAACACTGTTGTGATGTCCAAATGGCGTTTTCATTTGGCAGTAACTTATGTACTGTTTTACGACGGTGTTGGTCTGAGAGGGTGTGGGGACAGTGAACAACGGGACATGGACAGTTTGAGAAACACGGACTTGAAACAAGTGACTGGGGAAGAGTGGACAAAGGAGCTGAGGCAAAGAGAGGGAAATTAAGTCTTTGTTGCCCCAGTAAAAACATGCTCTCGGGGTTGTAAGAGCTGAGATCCTCCTCTCTGTGAATTTGAAGTGGGTTTCACTGCCAGAGAGTAGTTTCCCAAAGACTTCTAGGGGTCGTGCTGTTCTCGCCCAAACGGACTCTGCCAGTCAGTGCTGGGAAGTGGTCCAGGCTGGGGCTTCGCTGTGGGCGTGACCATCCCGGCCCGGAGCTTGGTCAGGACCGTCCCAGCACTACTGCCTGCAGGCAGCTGGCGGGGAGGCCAGGGGCCCGGGGGCTGAGGTGAGGGAGGGGGGCTGGGGGAGGCTGGTCCAGGCTGCAGAGCAGGGCTCTCTGAGGGTTCCAGAAGCACGGGGCGGAGAGCGGGTTGGGGGTGGTGAAACTGGGGATCACGCACCATGACGACACACCAAGAGGGACGGGCGCTGACATGCGTGTGGAGGGGCCGGCAAGAGAGGGGACTTCTGAGTCGTCCCAACGGCCGCGGTTCGGGGAGGGCTTACCCCGGGCTGGCGCCGTGATCAGCTCAGCGCTCAGAACAAATCCTAAGTTGTTCTGCGTAGCCAGACTGCGGTCTGCAGGCCCAGGGGTCCCCTCAGCCAGGAAGTGGCAGAGCCGGGATTCGGATCCAGAGCATCTTAACCCCGAAGTGCATGAGCTCGGCCGCGGCGACGAGAAACGTGACCGCCTGCTGCCCCCCTGCTGTGGGCCAGGGGCCGGCGCTGGACCCAGGGAAGGGCGTCCCCCGGGGGACGGGAGCTGCGAGGTCGCAGAGGAAGCTGAGCCTGCAGGAGTGGGGCCGGCGTGGTGACCGTGACGGAGGAGGGGCCCAGCCAGCTCGGGGGCGGGCGGGACGTGGGTCAAACTCGCAGCAGCAGGTGTGGCCCTTTCCTGGGCCTTCGTTGTCTGCCCGACTGTCTCTGTTCAGTGGATTTAATGACCCAGACTCCTCTGATAGGAGTCCCGTCCCCCGCCCCCACCCCCGGCCTCTGCGATGCCCACAGTCAGGCCCACGGCTCGGCCTGGTCCTCCCAGCAGGGGCTGCTGTCTGCGCGGTGCCCCCTCTAATGCCCCTTTTTAGAGCCGTAAGGGAAAACGGCGCTTGGAGATGATTTCTGGGCTCTGAGTCAGAAGGCCTGCGTTCGGGTCCAGGCTCCAAGACCACGTGACCTTGCTCCAGGGGTTCAACTCTCTGGGCTCAAACCTCATGTGGAAAATCAGTGTCACGCTGCATGACCTCAGAAGAATCCACAACCGCCGTAGCCCACGCTCGTCTGGCCCGGAAAGTGCACTTGGATTTCTCTCGCGCTCTGACCCTTGCGTCTCCCTGCTGGGAGAGAAGGCAACTGGTGTTTAGTCTGAAACGTGCCAGCTTGCGCCTGCTGTGTCCGGAGCTCCCAGGCTGCTGGAAGAAAAGTGAAAGAGGAAGGGAGTGGACGCGACGTGATTCTGTTTGGCCGGCGGGAGTCGAGGGAGAGGCTAACAGACGAGACCACTCTCCCCCCTTCCCCCACATTTGGGCTGTGCTGACTCAACGGTTTTCCTTCTCCCTTTCCACCCTCTGCTGCCTCCTACTCTGCTAATCACAGAGTAAAAAATGCCCAAACATGAAAAACGGTTCCTTTACAGTAAAACTCTACTGCCCCAGGTCTGATACCAATGACCACAAAAGCGCTTTTTAGATGATTATTGGTTTGAGTTTCAACTCCGGTCTCAGTGAAAAGTCTGGAAGGAAAGGATTTGCTCCTCGGCCGACGAGCCGTCCCACTCGCCCTGGGCTTGACATCTGCTCTGGGGGCAGAGCTGCGGCTCCAGGACTCTGGCTCGGTCCCGTCCCGGGGTCCCCTTGTGGGTCTGCTTCAGGAGGGAGAGGAGCTCAGGTGCCGATCTGACAACGGGACACAGGACCCGCAAATACGCCTGTGAATGGAAGCACAGACTTAAAATGTGCTCCAGGGGCGGCCGGTGGCTCGGTCTGTTAAGGGTCGGACCCTCGGCTTTAGCTCCGGTCGTGATCCCGCCATTGTGGGATCGAGCCCCGGGCCAGGCTCCGCGCTCAGCCCGGAATCTGCTTCAGAGCCTCTCTCTACCCCGCTCACTCTCTCTCTCTCTCGCTCAGATAAGTAAATGAAATCTTTAAAAATAAATAAACGAAAGGGGTGTTGAGCACGGCTGAGCGGCTCGTAACCCTGCCGTCGGCTACAGTTTCTCGGGAGAAAACCTCCTCTTCGGGTGCCCGACTCCGGAGCGCACCGGCTGGCCCCCGGAGCCCGGGGGCACCGCTCTGCCATTTCAGGGCCTGCCTGGTTGTTCTCCGGGAATCTTCTCTCGCGTGATGTGGCGCAGGCTATGGGGCATGCGGGTCCTGCGTGGGGCAAGCGCCGCTGGGAGTGGTGGGTGAGGCTGAGCTGCCGCGTGGCAGGGGCAGCTCTGGCCGTGGAGTCAGGACACCCCAGTTTCCATCCCTTCCTAGCCGGCGGCCCTGAGCGCCCGAGTCCCCGGTCTGGAGGAAGGGAAGGCGCAGCGGTCACCAGGGCAGGCGTCCCCGTGCAGGGGCAGCGGGCGGGACTCCAAGTGAACGGCGCGGCCCGTGGCCTGCGGCCTGTGGCTTCGCGCATCCGGAAGCGCTCGCGGCTAGTCCGGCCGAGCCGGGCTACGTGGACCTAATTCAAAGGAACGGCCGTGGCACCTGCTTTCCTCTCCCGCTCCCGGGGTCCCGGGGCTCCAGAGGAGCTCGGGAAGGTGTTTAAATGGCAGCTTCCGTTGGGGCGGACACCTGAGGCTCGCGAAGTTGTCAGAGGCAAGCCACGCGGCAGCGAAGAGGAGGAGGCCCCCAGCGCCAGGTTAGCATGAAGGCCCCGTGAAGCAGAGAACAGAGGACGGGAGCTCGGGTTTCCATGATCTGACCCTCCCCAAGACCAGGTGCTGGGTCGCGTGAGTGACCCCCGGATTCACGGTTCTGAGCCCTCAGGCCCACAGTGCCACCTCCTCTGAGAGTCTCAGACCACCTTGTCCAAACCCAGGTTTCCCACCCTCTACTCCCCGACCTGCTTTGCATTTGCTACGGAGGCCCCGTCATTACCTGACCGGTGCTTGTGGACTGTCCGTCTCCTTCCAGCAAGCTTTACTGACGTAGGGACTCTGTCTTACTTGACACGGCCCAGAATATTCCCCAGGGCCCGGAGCATGCGGCGCATAGTAGGACCACTAAATGCAGCCGCACCCCTACATCAGACTAGCCAGTGTTTAGAGTGGTTCAACCCAGCCAGTGTCCGCACCACGCCCAGCAGAGAAGCCCGCGGATGCGCCTGCGGGGAAACCGTTGGTTCGTAGTTTCGGCTCTCGGTGTCCTGTTGCTTACAGGGCCCAGCTTTACTGTTGGCCTCGCATTCTGGCTAGTTGTGTTGGTCACCCTGAGACTCCCTGAGGTTCTCTGAAATGTGCACAGAGGACGTCGGACTCACTTACCTCCGATGAATTCTTTATTGGATCTCCACGATCCCCAAATCTTACTGTCCTGGTAAACGTCCAAAAGTACAATCGTGAGCTCTTTATCTCAAAAACCACATGGGCCGAATGCCACATTCTGGTGTGGATCTTGGTGCACATGCACACGCACACATGCACACACACACAGAAAGAGACATTCGTGAGGAAACAGGAAACCCAGATGAGGTCTGGCACATTTGCAGTGACAGCAACTCCTCGGCGCAGATCTAGGAACCAGAGTTCTGAGAGATAAGGTCAGGGGACAACTCTTCTGTGCATCTAAGATTACTTCAATCTAAAAGGATTTTTAAAAACAAGGACCCACACTGGTAGTTTAAAGGCAAACAGCAGCGGAACCAAAGAAGCTGAGCCCAGGAGAGGTCTGAGAGACAGCCGCAGCAGCGTCCTCGCATCACGGAGGAGGAGTGAAGGCCCAGGGAGTCGGCGACGGAGAAACCCCTGAAACAGGTGCGTTCCGTGTGGTGCTATCACCCTAGGCCTAGTCTCTGTGGTGCGGGCTGGTTTATAAACATACGCTCCTTTGCTCATTCACTCACTACAAGATGCTTATTATCACAGATTTTGCCAGACTCCCGGAGCGTGAGGACGAATGGCATGTGGTCTGTGGCCTTGAGTCACTCGCAGTCTAGTCCTACTTGATCTTCACGGTGCTGCGGGGAAGCGGCACCTCTATACCCCGGGTTGGCGGAGGAGGGAGTGTGGCTCAGAGCATCGGGACGCTTGGCCGCTGGGAGCGGGTGAGCAGCAGAGGGAGAGGCCCAAGCCAGACATTTCGATG